TGAAACGCAATGCACTTCGAGGACAACTTCAGACGTCAGAGCTGCAGCACAGGGACTGAGTCTCGCCTGTGCTTCTTCCTCCCTACACTGAACCCTTTCAAAATGGATGGAATCCAGAGAGAACCTGGTACAGACACAGGGCTTAGGCCAAATGTTATGTCTAATAACTGGTAACATGACAGAGTGAGAACAGCTTTTTACCTAAAAAAATCCTTTTCATTGCTTAACACTTGAGAGCATCCCGTGCTGTGGAAGATGTGTAGGGTGTGGACATATGCAGGTTTCTTCTTCTTTGTTTTTTTTTTTTGGATTAGACCTTCTTCAAGTGAAACCCTTTGCTTCGGTCTCTGCTGTCGTCGTCCTCACACAAGTGTCCCCAGGCTTGTGGCTCCTGTGCTCAACCACGCGGTGCCCGCAGCTTCCCTCCAAGCTCTCTCCTGGGTGGACATTCGGACAAGCATCTGAAAGGCCGTAGCTCTGAGGATCCATCCATCTCACACCTGGTAAGGAGTTTGGTGACCACAGGTTGTGGCTAATCCCCTGCCCCTCCCCAACATGTGCCTTTGGGCAGTTTTCAGCGTTGAACAGTTGGGGAGCAGTGTGCTTCCTCAGCCCCTCCGATGCTACTTGAAGTTTATTTTGAGTGGACTTTCTCTCCCTCCCCCCAATAAAAGACCTCCTTCCTAATCAAGCTTAATCCACACATTTATCGCCATCAGAAAAGATGTATGGCAAAATTATCACACAGAGGGATGTTAAAACTCAACGTTTTAGTACTTTAACATTCATGTTCTATTATTCATCATGGATGCCTTGGTTCAAGTTCTGGTTTTCTACTTAATAGATGACCTTGGGCAAATGATACTGTGTCTTAGTGTCTTTTATATTCCATTGGCTGGGTGTGAGAATTACGTTAGTTAATGTTTAAAAAGTGCTCTGAACATGGTAAGCATTCAATAAATACTAATATTACTGAAATGTACCTGAAACTGCCTCAAAAGCTCCACTCTGTATATAAAGCATAAAAAATAATATACATTAGTAAGAAACACACCTCAGAACATATGACCCCTGAGCAGCAACTCTCTGACTCCATTTTCCTAAGGTGTTATAAATTCATGTGTGATTCCAGTTCTAATGGAGGTCATAAATTACGTCCCTGCGTATACCCAGCACTTAGCTATTTCTCTTCTCCGGAATCTAAAACAGAATGATTCAAAAGGTAATTCTCCCTAAAATGGCCTTGCCTTGTGTAGTTTCCAGGGTAATTTTTACTTATCCTTTTAGACTAAAGCTGACACTTCCTCCAAGAAGCCTTCATAGACTCTCCATCCCATCTGTAATACCCTGTGTGTATCAACTCTATGGCTGTTGTACATTGTTTAATAATTCTCTCTATTTCTGCCTCTCCCACCAGCTTCTCAGGGACAAAGAGAGCCTTATTCATCTTTGCTTTCCCATAGTACAATGCGTGGCACGGCACAATTGGATGGGTGGAGGGAGATGGGAGAAATCAAGGAACTGAAAGAATGAAGGGAGGAAGGAATTAAAGAGGCAAACCAAGCAGCAAATCAGTAATTTCTTACCATACTGGTCTTGTTTTACATACACAACATGATTCATTTGAAAATATTCTAAAGTAACTGAAAGGGGATTTAGGACTCAAGTACTTGTGCCCCATCAGCAGTGAAATTCACCCAAACTATCTCACTGTAACTATCTTTAACTTCCTTTTCACAAATAACACTTCCCAAACCAGAACAAATTAGAAGAACATCATCTCCTCAAAACTTCAACAAATACAGTTAAGTCTCATTGGCAAACACAATAGCCACTTACGACGCTGACTACCTTGCCTCCCAATTGCTGCTTACCTGAGAGTTCACCTTCTCCGAGACGTCTCCGACCACCATCTCAACTAGGAAAATCTGCCTCTGCCTCATCCCAACACAGCCCAGTCACTCTGCTTTGCTTCATTTTTTTCCCCTTATCACCACTCCCAAGTGACGCTTTCACTCATTCACTTATCCCGTGTGAATGAATGAGGGCAGGGCCCAGTGCTTCGTTCATCCTGGGTTCCCAGCCACTAAGGCAGTCCTTGACCTTGACACAAAATGCAAGTAAACAGCCGAATGAAATGTCTGCCTACTTCATTTTCCCCCTCCTATTGCCTAGAACCAGAGTCTTCCTAGGACCACCTGGAAGGACTGCTTTTCCTCCCAGTCCTTGGATCTCCGCCCTCGAGGCTCTCCCATGGGCAGGCCAGCTCCCCACAACCCCACTTACATTTAAGATCAAAGGCACAACCAAGTGACAACGCTGGAGTTCCCGTAGAACTCCTCCCCGCTCCTCCAGTTCCTCTGTCCTCTTGCTTTCTACGCCATTACTGCTCCTCAATTTATTTCATCCTCGGTAACCTTCCCCTCTTTTGTACTTCACAGTGCATTGCGGAAAATACATAACTAAGTGTAAACACTGTAAAACTTTCAAAGGATTCCATTTTAAAGAAAACCAAGTTTATGTTACGTAAAGATTTCAAGAAGAGAAACAGATGCTGTTGCCCTATTTACATTTTTAACACTGTAAGTTCCAGGAAGGCAGTCCTATGAAAACACGTTACCATATTTTACCCAGTCGACATTATAAAAACCCCATGTTCTCCCACCTGGAGTTTTCTGGTGAATGAAGTACAAGAAGATTGAAACATGATCAACAAAAATCGCAGGTGTTCTGTTTCCTATACCCTCATCCATCATCTAACCTGAATCTACACTGGATGAGGGTGAATTGTTCATTAACTTTAAACACTTCTGTGCCCAATGGTCTACACGTAATTATGAGACAGACTCAACAACACAGGCTTCTCTGGGGCCATGTTTTATCATTTGTTTCGGTGTCACTTAAGGAAATCGAGAGGAAAAGTCTTCCAACCCACTTTAAATGCTGACCTTAACATAACCAAATACTAAAGCCAAGTGGTGTAGAAAATGGGAGGGAAAGGCTTTCTCTGGCCAGGTGCTGCTACTCATCCTAGCACCTCCGGGCCTTAGAAAAGCAGTTTTAAAATCTCGGACCGGACCTCCTCCAGCTGTGTGGGCGCCCCTGACCCAGCAGAAAAGCAAGCACTCTTGCTGGCACTTGCCACCTGAACGGGACTGGGGTCCCAGCGTGGCCATGAGACTCATCACCAAGGACGCTGGGCTGCAGGATCCCTGGCGCCACTCTCAGCACGATGGGGTTGCCCATCCGCTGACACGGAGGCACGGTTTGTTCTCGGAATGTAAAATGTGAACGTCAGGAAAGAGCCCAAGTGCCCATCCATAGAGGAGCGGACAGAGAAGCTGGTCATTTACACGATGGAAGATTACTCGGCCGCGAAAAAGGAGGCAATCTTACTGTTTGCGACAGCATGGACGCTGCGGGAGAGCGAGCATTGTGCTTGGTGAGATCAGCCAGTCGGAGAAAGACAAATGCCATATGACCTCCCTTCTATGTGGAATCTAAGGAAAATGAACGAAACAGAGACAGACTCCCAGACACAGAGAAGAGACTGGTGGCAGCCAGAGGCGGGGGCTTGGGGCTCGGTGGTGAGGGGAGAAGAAGTCCGGCTGGGCAGCCACAAAGCGGCCGCGGGGACGCGAGGCCCAGCAGCCGGGTGGGTGCCGGACATACGGGATAGGGGTGGGGCGGCCTTTGTCAAGTACCTGGGTGTTTAACTGCTACGCTGTGCACCTGAAACTAATGCAAAATAACCGAATGTAAACTGTGATTGAAAACGAAAATCCAAATTACAAATGTCCCGATGAGGACGCTCACCTGTAAGGGCCACTTCACCCATGGGCCACAGGAGGGACGTAGTCTCGCCACCTGTACGAAGGTCCGAGTCTCCACTGTACTTAACTCGCGAAGAGAGAAGGGGGCTCAATGCGGGGAACTGGCTGATTTCCAGCGTGAAAACTCAGGCGGACCTGGGGCAGACCTCGACCGTGGCGCTACCACCCGAGCCACCCGGCTCCGCGCAGGCGCAGAGCCCGCCTGCAGACCCCGCGCCGGAACCGCCTTTCCACCCGGTGCGTTGACGGTGAGGACGCGACCAACCGACCGGCGGGTTGCTCAGGGGTCACCCGCATTTCAACAGGGAACTCCGGACAGCCTCCAGGCCCCCTGCCAGAGAAGGCCCCCACGTGTCCCCGCCCCCACCCCGGGGCAGCACGTGGGCTTCCTCACCCGGGGGCTGGGTCACCTGGGTCCCCGGGCCTCCCGAAACTCTCAACTACACACCGTCTTATCTGCAACTGAACCTTCAGTGTCCAAGTCCGCTGAAATAAACTGCACATCTTATCAGGTCATGCAGCCCAAATTTAACCTCCATTCACGAACCACTTGTTGAGAAAGAGTACAAAGAGGTGACCACACAGTGCCTCGTAGTGCCCACCCCTCGTCTGTGACGCACAACCTTCCCACTCAAAAGTGAAGCAGCTTTTAGTAAATTTAAAGTGGATAAAACAGAATTCGGTGCCAAAAAAATTCTCAGATCACTTACAACCACCCCCCACTTTCTAAACGTTGGTAGTAAAATTCGTTTACGTCATAGGCTTTCACTTAAATGGCACGCATTTATAATTCCCAAGATACTGTTCACTACCTGAAATAATACATATATGCCCAGATCCAGATCTTGAAATTACGATTAGCTATTATGCACTTACTGAATATTATTCTTTATAAATCTATTACACATTTTCCATTTTTATTACCCCAGCATATTTATGTAAATACCATGCTGGGGGTCGATGCATATCCAAATGTGAGGGTGAGCAGGCCAGGCCACACGGGAACAAGGCATTTCCGAACTTCTAATCCCAGTCTTCACTTCAGTCACCTCTTCCATTTTTTACTTCTAAAGTGAATGTGCTTCCATTCAAGTAACCAGGTGGATGTCAAATCCAAGTAACTAATAAAAATTCAGTCAAATGACATTAAGGCTAATGTAATTGAATTTATTTTTCATGTTTTCTTTCATTTTGACCAGCGTTTGTAATTGCTGTATTTGTATTATAAAATATACCATTGGTCACAGAGAAGTTTATAAACTAGCTTAACAAGTAAGATTCAGATAATAAGTTACCTGACAAAGTGGCATCTCATTTCTGGCCACATACACGTATCCTATCGTCACGTTATATAGTAAGAAATATGGCAACTAAAGACCCCCTCCCCACCCTCCAAAAAAGAACAATGTCATCACTTTAATTTTGTTAGGAGTCACAAAAATTTTTATTTAGGAAAAATATTTCCTTCAATGTTTATTAGATCATTAATTTTATTTAAATGAATAATTTATTTTTACTTTTCTGTGTAGACCAATTAAAAAGTATGCCTCTTTCTTTTCATAAGCAAACTCTCATTCTGCATGGCAGATAAGAAATTAATACTTTATTTCCTTCTACCTTAAAAATTACGAAGTTTTCCTCCACGGATTAGTTATTTTGGTATGAATTGTCGTCATGCTGCTGTTATTTAAAAAAAAAAATCAGTAAAGATATGGACACGTGGGAAACAAATCATAAACTACAATACTAGTTTATAATGAAATATATTAAACATTGTTTAAATATTAAACAGCAAAATACTCCTATATTAAATAAATAAAACCAATTTGTCATGTGGAACCATAGGCCAATACCACCAATAATGGGGATGGTCTAGTGCAAAGGGTGGCCGCAAAAAAGAAAAAAGTTAAGGAGAAGAAAACACATTTAATACCAGTAATTCTCAATCCTTTCTGAACCTGAAGAATTTGTTCAAAACACTGATGACCAGGTCTCACCCCAGACCACTTAGACCAGAATCAGAACTCAGGAAGTGAATGGTCTTTTACCAAGGCCCCCACACGGCTCCAGCATGCAATGAGGGTGGGCAGCTGCCGGTGGAAACCTGGTGCTTCCCACTGCTCCCTGGGGCAGAGGAGTGTCTGTGGAGTAATGCAGTGGGGCTTTCTGTATCCGCTGGGGTAAGACAAGGGGCCTAGTAACATAACTTATGGGTAAGTCAAATTTATGAATGGGTAGTTCATTTCCATTTAAGTGTCTTCGAATGCCTCTTTGTTCCCTGTAATTCTGTATTTTCAAACTCCCAGACCAAGTACAAAGTACTTTGTGTTATGTTGAAAATACATCATTGATTCGTGTATACAAAGATTTCCTGAATGCCTACTATGTGCAAGGCACTGTGATGGCTGCTGCTGTAGGACCTGGAGTCATGAACAGTGATTGGCTGTGAGTTGGGTTTTTTGTTTAAGAATTAATGTCTATAAATTAATTACATAGACCTAAATAAGGGACTGAACTGCCAAAAAACAGAGAGAGACAAAGAAAATAGGTACATGCTAAGGTCGGATTTTAAAATACATGGCATAGCATATTTGTACTTTTCCTAATGTTCCTTACAGTATTTCCAGAAGCCTCTGAATACATATAAGGCAAATTCAAGATAGAAAAATAAATCCTGTTTAAAGTAGATGTTCCCAATTTTAACCACACTGTTATCAAGTAAATTTCATACATGACATAAGTATAAATACTAAAAATCTTTATAGAAAGGTAGTTCATGTCCACTCGTAGTAGTCTTAACAAGTAATCTTACATTAAAATATTACAGATTCTAGACCATGACTATTTCATCACTGAGAAAGTTTATACAATACATAATTTATTTTGAAAACAAATTTATATGCTGAGATATTCTAATGTGAAATTTTTTTTCTCTTATTGTCAAGAAGAGGATGCAGAGAAGAAGGGGGCTGAATCTGTTCAAACCTTATAAATATTCTAAAATCTTATCATTTTAAATGCTGACTGTTTTTCTTCTGAAAAACCTAGTGAATTCCACATGAATAAGTCTCGTTTTCTATTCCCTATTGGTATGGACTTTCATGGTCAGTGAAAGAGTAAGTTAAGTGCTTCTCATTTTTATGATAGCATTAAATTTACAAATGAGGCTAGACAATGTCAGCTGGACATAAGAGTTAGATGTTTACAAAAAAAATGTCAACCTAAGAGAAATCACTGGGGGGAGAAAATGGGGACGGGGGGGAGGGTAGATATAAATGATCAGCAACAATTCTAACAGTAAAAACTGGAAGTCAAGTTTCCAAGTTGCTTTTGAGTGAGAAAATGTGAAATTAAGCCTCACGGAAAAGGCTCATTCATTGTACTATGGATGCAACGCTGCCTAAAGTAGAGAAGTAGTAAAATATCTTACTAAGTTAAAATATAGGTTTCTATTTCATACGATATTGAATACGCACATAAAAATACCAGTGTTTTTATCTTGTTTCTGTTCAGACACTTACTTAAGCAAATGTGTTCTTTGGTGCCTGGGAGAGTTTATCAGTGTTCAGGGACAATGGAAGATAAGGACTGAGGTCCACGTGCCTAGAAACAGCAGACTCCAATCCCATGCCCTGTAAGCTAAGAATCAAGGTGGATTTATGGGAAAAGATAAGGAAGCTAAAATCACATTGCAGTAGGACTCATACATTTCCTTCCCCCAAATCATACTCTGGCTCCCAAAATAAAAAGTACTACAGCCTACAAGGTTTTCAATCTGTGTTTTGAGATGTTTCAAGTGGAAAGATATCACAGATAGAAATATATCATTCTAAGTTTTAAAATCCCCAAAGTCAGTGAGAAGCATGTACATTCATTAAATGTATTCAATATAAGTAAGAAGTCTTGAAAAGGCTGAACAGTTCAACCAAAGCTGAAGAATTGTTCTTGATTTTTCATTATTCCTTTTTAAATAAAGTATAGATATAGTACACATACAGGTTGACATTTTGACTCATTCAAAATAGTCACATCCCTTTGCTTGGTTTTGCAAGTTCCAGAAACTAAAATTTAATACCATTCATAACACAGTATTTTCAATAAAAGGAATTATAGAGCAATGAAAAATCAGAAGCAAGATGGCTTAGAGAGCCATATAACCTCTAAATATACACACATTTATAACCTGTATTTATTTTCTAAAGAAACACATTTTAAGTAATGCTAGTTTAACCAATGGAGAAAAAACTTCTATCAAAATATACAATTTCCGTTACAGACTAGAAGGCTAATATTAAAAAAATAGTTGTAGGCCAAAAAGTTTGCTTAATATGAATGATGGGCACCATCCCTTTGAAGCATAAAGCATCAAATGAGGTCTTTTGATCGATGTGACCTTCTTAATTGTAAGTTTTTGATAAATTCATAAAGCTTGACTCTCAGGCAGTCTTTAGATCAAGGTATATCCGATGCTTCTTAAATCCAGATTTGCACAAGGGGAGATGATGTGATTCAGAATCTCAAGTGGGATTTATGCTTTACCATGTACCTGAAAAATAGTATTATAATGAGTTATAATGACTATTGAGAATTTTAGGATTTTTAAAATATTACATGTAAAAATAAGTTGACTTTTTAAAAACAGTGAAACAGGTTATTTTGTTTTCTTAAAAAAAAAAACCCTGGAAACTTCCTACTATAACTTTCGGGAATACAAAGACTTCCGAAATAAACCAGAAGAAATATTCCTCTTATTAAAGTCTGTAATCTAAGAGCTTCTGGCTGGAATTATACACGTTCCTTTTTACTACATTTTCACTTCTCATCACTGGGTAACCTCAATCATCTCTGACTTTGAGGAAAGCCATAATATTCAGTGGGAGACTTAGACCAAGAAAGTTAGATTTTAATGGGTGCCTCAAAGAGAATAATAGACTCAGTGGTATTAACTGTGATTATTGTCCAATTACAAAACTGATATTCTTGTAAAGGACTTTAATAACTCTATACTAGTAATTCAAACAAATTCAGAAATTAAATTCCTTTCATGAGTTACCCCAACTCAGATCCAGAGTTAGAGACCTCATGTTGGAAAAACCATAGGGATCATTTAACCCAAGCTCCTGGGTGGAGAGAACACAAGGTCCGACCGGGCACACAGTGAGACCACAGAAACCCAGACTAAAATGCAGTTTTCTGACTCAGACTTTAGTTGCTTTCTACCAAGCAAGAAGCCCTTTCTCCACCTGTTTCTGAAGTCACTGTAACAAAGACCTTTGTTCCTGATCTACTGTAGTTCAACATCAAATTAGATAGTATTCAAAAACATGGAATGGGGAGAAATGGTTCACAACTTAAAGGAGTGTAACGTCTGACTGAAGAGATGGGGGTCAACGCGGTAAAGCAGGAGTAAGTGCATTTCAGAAGCACAATTACCTATCCAGTGTTTCCCAGAACCGTAAGAACACGGGTCTGTCCAAATGACGTTTGTGGTAGCTGAGTTCTAACACCGTTACGTCCCATTTCTGAACATTTGGATCCAGACGAACTTCATCATATTTGAGATGGAAGGCTTTAACTACATGGGAGGAAATATTTTTTTAAATTCAAAGTGCAGTCAAAATTATTAAAGTACTTTATGAAAAATAAAAACATACAATGCAGACATTAGAGCCCCAAAATAAAACAAACTAAAACATAAAACTATTTTTCTTCCACCAACCAAAGCCATTATTATAACCAAAGTGAATTTTGAAATTGATGCTAGAACCTGTGGCATCCTCAGAAACATTCAATTCAACAAACATTTACTGAGGGCTGTGTATACATGCCAGCCATGGGATTGAAATGAGAAGTGCGATAAAATGCTTACAGACCAGTGAAAAATAAGAAAGACAATTCGAATGCAGCATGATAAAGAAAGGTAGGGTATTGCAGAAACACCTGTGAGCCCCTTACCCAGACCGTGGGATTCAGAAAAGGCTCACATGGGCAGTGAGGTTTAATCTAAGCACCCTACTGGTGAAGCAAGAATGAGGCTAACACAGAACGAGCGGCCCAGCCAGCAGGGACAGCATGATCAAGGAGAAGGCAGTTCACGCTGGAAACAGAAGCGATTCAGTGGAACCACGTGTGCACGGTGATTAATGCGGAGACCTGGAGCGGCACCGCCTCGCAGGCCACACCCAGGAGCCCACACGGTGAGCCTGCAGACACGAGGAGGCAGACAGGAGGAGGCAACACGAGGTGTTGAACAGAGAGCAAGGCCGCAGCACGGAAATCCAGAGAAAGAGGCAGATGCAATCAACGGGGAGAAAATGTGAGTGAGGAAAGACAAACAGTGAAGAGGTGTGCAAGGGGTGAGAACTAATGGGACTTGCCAAGAAATGATGAAAAGGGGAAAAGAAAAAAAGAAAAAACCCAAAAGGCCTCTGGAAAAAGCTACCTAGATGTAGATAATTCGATGGTTTAACCTCAGTGAAGCTGTCGTTTCACACACGCACACGACAGGGAAGACATTCAGCCTTTCCATTTTTTACTTTTGTTCTAATGTAAAATATGACTCTTCCTCTCACCATTGTCATCTAGTATTATTAGGGTGTTTTGTTTTTTTTTAAGAAAATGATTAACTTTGTTCATTTTTTGACAGCTACTTTACAGATTGTCCCGTAATGCATGCTGGCTTACTGGCTGGCTTTTGGTGTTAAAAACCAATCAAGGTCCAATTCTTCATGGAAATTCCAAATGAATAGTCATTTGTGCCCACAAAAAAACACAAACATTATTTCTAAATTATTTGCTTTTATAAATAAAAGTCTCTCATTGGACACATTACTCATTTTGAATTCAATTTGATTTATTTAAACCAATTCATTATAGGGGTTTCATGTCAATGATTTCAGAAAACCCATTTTTAAAATGGTTTTTATGGGTAGAAAATATTTTTTGATTGTTTTTAAATTTTAAAAAATAACTCACATCTCAATATGTCCTATTCTGCTTAACATGGTTCACTTTTCTAATTTTCTCAATATAATTGCTTTAAATCACTCTTTAAAATATGTATTATATTTTAAAAAATGATTTACCTGAAGCAACAAAAATATACAGTCCCCTTTAATAATTTCAACGAATTTAGTTTATACAACATTTGTTCTTCCAACAAAGAAACACATTTTTAAATTAAAGCTGAAATATCAGGGCCCAAAAGTGTGAGCCATGATAAAGAAACACAAGGGTTCTTTCATACAAAATATTTCATTAGCACAAAGCAATTGTGGCAAGCAAGCTTAAACCAAGACATCACCACAAAATATCTTTCTTTAAAAAAAAATCTTTCTTATTCAAAAAAAGACTTAAAGGCTTTAAGCATCAGCAAAAAGTAAAGGAGAAACAAGCTTTTTTAGAAGCCAGTTATCTGCTAACACAGTGACTACCAAAGCAAACTACTTTACATGGTTCAAAATTGTTCATTTTCTGAAACCTGCATGAAATCTTGTCAACATTTTTTTTATGGGAACAAAAAAGCAAACAAAATTAAAATAGTGCTCTTGAATAACATTTAGAAGATAGAATGATGTCAAACGACAGACAAATAATACAAAAAATATTAAATGAAAATGCTTTTTAAATAACTAGCAAAAATTTGAAGAAATTATCACCTAAAAGTCTTGATCACAAATGTATGTAGCCACCTCAAACACAATAAATAATACTTTAGGAAAGCTGTATCTAGTTACAACCTCAAAATTCTGCAAAGATTTTATTTGGCAATTTTAGGCAAGTCAATATATTTAGGATCTCTAAAACTACGACTTATAAAGAAAATGTAAGTCTTTGCCGCGGCCCACACACGTCCCCTCCCGCGCACCCTGCTGTCACCCCACGCCTAAGGGCACCACTGTTCCCAGTGTTGTGCGGGTCGGGGTGAGGGACCAGAAGAGCAAGCGAAATCAGCAAAGAGACCAATAACAAGGAAGAAATGATATGTTTCTAACTTTCTGACTTGGGCAAATCACTTAAAAACTAACTGTGGAAAAGGCAGTTTGGGGCTCAGGGAGAGTACAGGATGCTCAACTGCCCTGGGACAGGCTGAGCCCGATGCGCGATGGGACCTCCCGTGAGTCACCTGGCCGTCCATCCTGAGCTATGGGACCCACGACACCAAGCCAGAGACTGAGAGGACAAAGATGGTGAAGGAGAGCCATCAGAACTCCTCAAGAGAGAAAATCTGTAAAAATAGCAAGAGCATAAACATGTGGCTGGAAGCCAGAGGAAAAGTAGCTAAGGAATCTGAGAAAGCAACAAGTCACAGGAAGGTAACGTTTTAAAAAGGAGAAAATGTGGTGAAGAGAGTCAAATTCTAAGGAGGAGGTCAAAAATATCTATTCAATATTTGGGTCACTAGTGAGTTTGGTGGGAAGAGTTTAGCAGAAGACGAGAAAATGAGACCACAGTGAATTAGGAACTAGAGAGAAGAAAGTGAGGAATTGGTAAAGACCATTCTTTCAAAAGCTTAGCTGTAAAAGCAGAAAGAAAAGGAGCCGGAAAGAAAGGTGAGGGGAAGGGTCTGATTCATTCTGTTGCTTTTAAGATAGAAGGGGCAAGAGCACTTTCATTTTAATTGCTGGTAGAAAGGAGTCAGTAAAGAAGGCTGAAGAGGAAGACTAATTCATAGAAGACAATCATTACTAACAACTGTTTTTAAAATGTCTCTAAGCTCTTACACCTAAATTTCAGAAATTAACAATCTGAAGAAAATGACAATTAAAACATCATTATACTCTTTCATGAAATTTAGAGAGTATTTATATCTTGAAGACACTCTAATCATAATTTTTACAATGCTATTCAGCAAGACAAGTAGGTAAAACACAGTATTCACGCAGACTGACATTTTACTTTTTAATAACATTCTCAATGCCTCCTGACCTTTTAACTTTCATTTATTAACTATATGCATCACTCAAGTTCCAGAAATAACATAAAAAGCAATCCTAATGTTAGAAATACCGGAGACCCATACACGGTTCAATCTTCAGCGTGTGGGCAGTGTCTGGTGGCCCAGCGGTGGGCCCGTAACGCACCCAGAGGCCCCCACGAGCAGGCTGCCCGCAGTGCAGCGCAGTCCACACTCGTAGCAGAGCTGGCGCTGTTCATGAGCCTTTGTTTCATGACAATGTTTGCCATAAAGGAGTTCTATGCTACTACCTTCACTGGGTACTCAAATTCAAACAATAACTGAAATCTCCCTACTAGCAAAAAACAAACAAAAAAAACCCAGGCTAAATTGATCTACTTTTTATTCACTAAAGGGTACAAGCCACACGAAACCCACTCGCTAACAGATACCTGCTGAATGCTGCCTCTACACCACACTCTTCTGTGCTGACGAAACAAGAGCGCACAAGGCAGATTAGGCTCCTCCCATCGGGGAACTTACAGTAACAATATATGCTGGCCATCAATCTTAATTACAATGTATGGACATGCAATAGTATTAATGACTTTAAAGCAGCCTAAAAATTATTAATGTTGGAGGACAAGCAATAATTCATGTATACAGAAGACATTAATATTAAAAAAGGCTTTAAAATATTTCACAGGTAAAAATTAACATTATATATGTTACTGGGAATCGTTTAATGCACGTATCTACATGCAGAAACACAGGGGACCCTTCGTCTTAAATAAAACAAGAGCACGCCTATACTGAATCAGCAGTAAAAAACAGAATCTTACTTTTAGCAAATATGTCAACTGGTGAACCATCAGGCAAAAGCCACGGCCAGCCTTTGAACTGCCATGCAGGCCCCTGCACGAACACGGCCACAACCCGGTCCCTGCAAACAGAAAGGGGGTGAGAAGAGTGGACAGAGGACAGGCAAACACACACTGTGATCCTCCAGGCGAGAGCCTCGTCATCCTCCCTGAGGCACAGTGTCCTGCCCACACTGGGAGGCACACGGGCACAGGACCACAACTGCCCGCTGCTCTGTCGTCGTCAGAGTCCACGAACAACTGCTGTGCATCCCAAGTGTTTTCCACTCTAAATCTTTTAAATGTAATTCATCACACTCACGGCCTATGTGATCTTTTACCCTTTTTTTAAAAAGGTTTTATTTATTTATTTTTAGAGAGAGGGGAAAGAAGGGGGAGAGAGAGGGAAGGAGAGAATCATCAATGTGTGGTTGCCTCTCAAGTGCCCCCTACTGGGGAACTGGCCCACAACCCAGGCTGGGAATTGAACCAGCAACCCTTCGGTTCACAGGCCAGCGCTCAATCCACTGAGCCACACCAACCAGGGCTCTCTTCAGCCTTTTATTTCTCCCCTTCTATTGCAGTAACTACAGTGAGGGGCCACTTCTCCAAAGCAACAGGCAACAGTAGCTGATATATTTATTGAAAAAGTTGCATTTTAAGAGGCAATCATTTAGCCCTGGCTAATGTGGCTCAGTTGGTAGGAGCACTGTCTTGTAGACAAAGATCATGGATTTGGTTCCTGGTCAAGGTACAGGTTGCAAGTTCAATCCCCAGCCAGGGTACATATAAGAAGGCAACCAACTGATATCTCCTCTCTCTCTCTTTCTGCAATGAAAATATGACCTCAGGTGAGAATTTAAACCAAAAAAGGAAATCTTTTAAAATTCAAACACATTTTACTTTAATTAAAAATGCTATAAATGATTTTAAGTTACCAATTTTATGAAGCTATAAGGCCTTATTTTTGACTTCTGATTATTTTAAAAGTAATCTGAGTACAGAAACCATAGACCTTAAGTTTTTCAATTGTTTTTAAAACTGTTTTGCTCACCATACATTAAGTTTTTCTGAAAGCAAGTTGTTTTTCCAACCATTTAATTTTGTTCTCATAAAAAAAAGCCCCACAAATCCCTTTCTAGGCCCTCATGTTTCATTACTTTACAAAATGCTTAATTAACTTGAGAAGTAAGTCATAAGCATACTGCCATAAACACCTTAGGCCTGGAACCAAAGAGGTGGGGACAAAACCCAACATGACCGTTAGTGACCTTCCCCGGGGCACCTCCTCTCAGCAGCTGAGAGGTGCCAGCACTGATCTCAGCAGCTCACTCGTAACTTATACGGACACACTGATCCCTCATCAAAGTCCTGGAGACGAGCCTGTCACCACTCCTTTCACAGAGGAGGGAAGGAAGTGCATGGGCATACCAGAAAAAGGAGAACCGGGAGGGGGGGCGCAGGAGGAGGGAGTCGGAGACAGTGAACCTTGCACACTGGCTATGCCACTGTCCCTGTGTGAGGATCGATAAATCACGAGAATAGCCACTTGGTATTAAGATGGAAAGTTTTGACCTCAACACTCCTCCAAAAGGTCCTGAGGACGCCCAGTGGTCCAAGGCAGCTACAGCCCTGGATGAAGACTATACCCATCCAATGCAACATCAAACCAGGTCTATCCTCCAGTCAAGTAAAAAACGCACAGCAAAAATCAGTCACAGTAGCCCTAGCCTGTCTGGCCCAGGACACTGGGCCCAGGACACTGTCTACAGACCAGAAGGATACCAGTTCAATTTCCAGTCAGTAAATAAAAATCCTAAAAATCAGTTATTATGGAAACCCACAGCTGGGTTAAAATAAAAATTAAAATTCTTAATCTGCTCAAAATCTCTGAGACTAAAATTGTATCTTAAACAAAAAATTCCCTGCTTTCAAGGGTACCTGCCCGCTATGGCCAAAACCGTCTTTGATAATAGAGCACACCATTAAATAGCCTCTTAATTTTATGATGTAACTTGCACCACACAGCTGAAAGCTCCAGGTGCCTGCCAACTAAAGGGAGTCTGCTGGACAGAGATCTCCTGAATCCTACTGGGTCTCCCCGAGCCAGCAAGGCAGCAGGGTGATGCAAACACTCCTCCCAGTGAATTCCCGAAAGGACAACAAGCAAAGCAGAAAAGTACTGCTATCCCTACTCCGACACCAGCGGCTGGCAACTTAGTGAATATGCACACACACGACTCTGTGACACAAATATGGCACCTGTACATGCTGCTACTTTCATTTTCTGCAAATAAGAAGATACAAATATGCGCCATGCCCATATCCTACGAGTTTTTAACTTGATAGCGGAGATTCTTCTCTTACTCACTTCATGTAATATTCAACGTGTCCTGCTTAGGTACTGGGGGAGAACTATGAAACAGGAGCCCTCTGTTCTTTAGTACAGTTTACTGCCAGTGGTTTGACTTTGTAAGGTCTGAGGACCAACCAGGCTACAAAGGAAAATTCCATCTAAGGTGCTGTGCTCTCTGAGGCACAGAGACACGCTCTCACACTTGTGGTTTCACTCCAGCTTCAATCACTGATGTAGTTTAAGGTAACTTATGTATCTGAGGTTATAAGGCTCTTTATATTACACATAGCTCAGTATTTTATTATAAAACATTTTAATATAATAAAGGACTAAACCAGGGTAATCACATTATTTTTATTAAATTATTCCCTTATAATAAGTGCAAAAATGACTTTACTTATTGTGTCTTACCAGAAAACCTGAATTTTCCAAATCTAAAATGTAGACCTCAAAACACTAGTCTGTTTTCAAGTGTTGCTCTAAAAGCTGATCCAAAACAGGGAAGTGGAAAGAATGTCTACTGAGTTTTCCAGAAGTTAGTGTCTCTTACAAGTAAAATCAAATAGAGATTTCAGTAGGTATCACTGGACTGTATTATTGATGACCAAATTGGGCATCACCCCTGGTTTCAAAACAGGCCCTATTTATAACCCACAGTAAACGTGCTCCTCGTTCACCCCACCAGAAACGCCCGAGTATGCAGAGAGGTCACCGTACCAGTCCTGAGGCATGAGCTTCAGGGGCTGGTCCACCACCCGGTAGGGGACCGTGACGCTGAGGGCGGTGCCCCCGGGCTGCATCTGGTCTTTTCTCCTCTGTATCAGAGTCTCATTCTCCCGCTGGCAGCCCTGTTTCTTCTTTTCATCTGATGGGACAAATCTTTGAAAAAATAAAGAAAAGGTCAAATAATGCATTTTTATAAATGAAAAAATAAATCATACCTCATGATTATTTTGTTAAATATTGAGGTTTAAACCCAAAACATTTTTTAAATTAAACCTGCTCTGTGTGTATAGACCATGATGCTCAGGGAGTGTGGGTCTTCTCTCTGCACGTCGAACAGGGGGCGTGCTCACTACTGCAGTGCCAGGTGAGTGTCTCGCACCGACACACAATCCATACTCAACAGCACTCGGCACTCTTCAAGGCGACACAGAAAAACCGTACCGACCCTTGATTTCTCAAGGGCTATTGAGGAAAATTTTATGATAAATTAAAGGAGGGCTTGAAAGAAAGGTGAGGTGGCCGACTGGGCTCCCTCCCGGATGGGAGACTCAGCCAGCCCACGAACTGCACCAAATGCCCCCTTTCATGCTTAGTGCTCCAGCAAAATTAGAAAATGCCATAAAATTTCAGGGATGCCTTGCAAATGTTTAAGTAAGGAAATTAGATCAGTGTATGCCAATTGTCTGTTATAGTAAATATTGCTAGTAATTTAGTAAATGAGCAAATCTATGTAGTTCAATTATCGACTGTACCATCAACCTTATTCTCAAAAATAATTCAGCAAACTGCAGAGCTGTTGCCAGCTCTAGGTTTGTTAGCATTCACAAAGCATTTTAAAACAGTGCTTAAAGAAATATAAACATACACACACACTCTCTCTTACACCGTCTATTGGCTAACACAGTCTGCAATGTATGAGCTACGGTTAAACGGGGCGATGGCCCGATGCAGTGCAGTCACTGCACTGAGTATCACCCTGCTCTCAAGTCCCCGGGAGACAAAGGAGGATGGGGATGCAGGAGAACTTGCACTGGGTAGAATCCCTTGCAAATTTCCAATCCCACACACTGGATCCACTGTGAAGTGATACTAACTGTGTAACCCTGAGAGCTGTTCGTACAATGTGACTGTGGTCACAGTAAACTTCACTTCCAAGCAGAGTGTTTTCACATCCATGGCACATCTAATGAGAAAGTTGAGACTGCTGTGTCATTTAAGGATTTCTCCCAGATATCATTTTACTACTGCCTAGGGATTCATTCATGAAAACTCATCTACAAGAAAGTAGCCTATGTGAGGCTACTCCTCCAACAGGAATAAATACATGCTTCCTGAACACCGCATTTACTTCCTTTTCGTGTATTTCTGCATACACTGTAGTATGTCATGGAGCACATATAAAATATACAGAGTGACATTCACAGACAGGTAAGACAGGTAAGCGTTCACAAACATGCACTCAGTCTAAGCGCCACTCCAACTGGGATCAAAAACACCTGCACTGGGCCGGACGCTTCCTCGTGCACCGGGCAGGAAGCCTCCCGGCTCCCTCCCCGAACAGGCAGCAGCTCTAGTCTGCCATGCATCTAGTCTGACATTCTTCGTCCAGGATCCATCTTCCCTGCTCTAGGAATGCACACCAGGATTGCACAGGATGTGCTCTTGGGGGTCTGGCTCCTGTCCCTCAGTCTGAGGTTTTCAAGATTCCCCCAGGCTCGGGTAGGGCTAGCGCACCCTTTTGAATGCTGGGGAGAAGGCTATGGTATGACTACGCCATAATTTGTTTATGCATTCCCCCGTGAGGGACGTTTGGGCAGTTCTACCGTTGGGGTTGTAACAAATCCAACTTCAATAAACACCCTGTGTGTGTCTTTTTGTGAACATATGCTCTCACGTCTTACATAAATACCTATGCATGGAACTGCTGGTCATAGCATAGGTTTAACCTTACAAAACACTGTCAGGAAGTTTTCCAAAGTAGGACAAAGTAGAAAAAACATTTTAAAAGCACCTCTGAGGTAACCAGCAAGAAGAGGATGCTTGTGCCCCAGACAGGAAAGCCAGGGAACCAGAACACTGCAGAATTCTGTGCATGGAAGGCACTGGCAAACTCATTGGACTTAAACTTTGCTGTCTACTCTATTTCGCAGATTCCTGGGTCAGGAAACAGCCCAAATTCTGCTCAAGGAAGGGTATCTCACAAAAACTTCTTTCATAAAGCCAGAACTCTTAGGATACATTTCGTATAACAGTAAACTAGAAACAAACCCACTGCCCACCCTTTTTCCTGCCCCTCACCACCAATTGTAGCCAATGCCATGGCAACTGCAAGGAAAATCAAATCTCAAAATTGTAAACTGGCCTCATTTAGATTTGAGGCAAGATTTAACCTTGGCCACAGTGATTGGTTTAGAACAAACAAGCCAGGCCAATGAGAATTAATCCTGCAGTTTTTGCTGGGATTCCTGGGAAACAGGCACTATCTTGGCCAGTGATTGCTAACCTGACATTTCTGATAAGTGCCTTTGTCCCTAAGGGGAGAACCTGCCCGAGAGGCAGTCCCGACTGCCTCAGTCCGCCCCGCTGTGCCCAAAGCCTCACTCTTCGAGTTCTGTTGAACCAGTAAATTATTTTTGATAAAACTACTCTGAGTGAGTTTTATCATTTACAACTAAAAGCATTCCAACAAATACAACCAGAACTACAAAACTGAGATTGTAGATGGATACATATGATTTGAAGAAATATTTTGATGTCCATTGACTCATTCATTTAGTGTTGCCAAGCACTGACAATCAATTTGTCAAAGAACAAAATGCAAATGGGATAAAGCTAGGTTAAGTTCTAGCCTTTATGTTACTGTAAGAACAAAAACAAGCCCTGGCCAGTGTGGCTCAGTTGGCTGGAGCATCATCCCACAGACGGCAAAGTCATGGGTTCAATTCCTGGCTGGGGCACATAAGAGAAGGCAACTAATTAATGTTTCTCACATCAATGTCTGTCTGTTCCCCCTCACACCAAAGCAATGGGAATGATGTCCTTGGGGGAGGAAAATACATACATACATACATACATACATACAGGACAAGTTTATGGCTATTTCCCAGGTTTTCCTTTTTCCTAAATAAAATAAATAGACTTTTAAAAAATACAAGAAAATACCATCTGGAAGTTAACCTCAAAGTGCGAATTTAAAGTGGTGTTAAATGGTTGTGCTCCCAGATGTCAGCACACACAAATGCAAATCTTTTCTGGAGTACCCCCACCTACATTCTATAAATCAAGAAATTTCTAGAAAAACAATTCCAAGGAGATGAATAAATGAAAACAATGAAAAAACATGAAATGAATTGTAAAAACACAAGGAAATGAGGTGTCATGAATGAAACAACAGTCAAAAAGATAACTAAAAACTTCACTGATGCAACTGTCAAAGATCAAAGCTTATAAAACAACTTACAAATATGTAAAGGGAAAATTTATTTTAAAAGATCAAAGGTTTGAAAATGAACTAAAAAGAATCACTGCAATAAAAAAAATTAGATTATCTAAATTTAAAAATGCAATAGATAGACTTAAAATCAGATTAGGGCATGGCCAAAGAAATAGACAACTTTCTAACTGTTAAAGTATCAAAAATGCACGTGACAGAGAAAGAAAGATGAGGAAAACAGAACCATGTAAGAGATAGTGAAAGATGAAATGAAAGGCCTAAAGTTTATCTTATTTAAGTCCCAGAAAGAAAAGAGCAAAAACAGTGGAAGGGGAAAGAACAATGAAGTAATATCTAAAGCAGAAATTTTGAACTGGTGTGTTAGAATGTGTAAAACATGCAACACCTGACTGGTTTAGGGCCAAACTGACTTCTTTTCCCTTAGATTGTCAAATGAAAAAGTGACAACAGCCACCACCACAGCAGCCATCTGGTGTGAATGCCCTGTGTTGGACAACACACATATAGGTCACAGAGTAGAGCTGCATTGTACGGGTCACATAATAAGGTTGCATCTGACTGTTAATTCTCGGTACCAGAAATCCTTATATACAAGTCACGGGTACCTGACTTTTTTTTAAAAAGTCACTTTGGTGGAGGTCATGGGCATGGACTATGGTGTGCTGATTGCAGGACGAAGAAGGGTATAAAGGGGTAACTGTTAATGCCAAAAATACAATAAAATAGTAAGATAAAGTCACTTTGGAGTAAAAAGAGTACCTATTTGCTGTCAAATCAGCAAAAAATATATTCTTTTGGTGTGCCACAGATTTTCAGTAATTAGTCTGTGTGTGCCATAAGGCAGAAAAGTTTGAAAAATCACCGATCTAAAGAGATAAAAAACGGAACTGATGAAAAAGGCCAACCCATAAACTTAATTCTAATGAACCCCAAAGTGGCAGATATATGAAATCTACATCTCGATACACAGATAAATTCAAGATACTGTATTTTGCATGTACGACGCGTACTTTTTGGCCCAGAGTTTTGATGCGCATTCTGCATGGGCAGCGCTCAAGTGCAAGTGCACATTACCCGTGGCAAACTACGGTGCTCTTTCAAAATAACCAGGTCAAGACCACCTCCTCCACAGGCCGGGCTGTCACACCAAGAGCCAACCCATTGTCATCAACAGAGGAAAACAATGGAGTATCTTCAAAGTAATGAGCAAAAATAAGAGACTCCTGCATCTTTTCCAAAGTGGCTGAGTCATTCTGCACTCTCCTGGTCCAGGGTCAACTCCAGCAACTGCTTGGCGTGCTACCTGCCCAGGTCTTCAGCACTTCCTACGCACCTCCCCCCCCCCCCGCCCATCTCCCCTCGCTGGAACTTGGCCAGAATCATAAGCAGCCTCAGACCAGCTTATTTTGAATACTTAAAGTCTAAAACTCTCTCAAGGTCATGTCTATAAATGGGGAAGGTGATTTATAATGCTTCCATCATGTATCCTTAATTCATTATTTAGGGTAGTAAAGGTTCGGGTGGATTTTATTTTGTTTTGTTTCTTTTACTTACTGCAGGGCTAGAAAATTGAAGAATCCTCAGTTTTCCATGAAACCTAACAGCATCTATGCCAACCCGAGCCATGGGTTACAGCCAGTACTGTAATTGTGTGGAGGAGGTTTCAATTATGCATTAATTACACAGCAAAGCCTCCAGCTGACTCACACTGCAGGGGACATGTCAGCTGCAATGAGGTGTTAAACAATGAAGGGAGTGTTTTAAACTTGGAAGAAAAATTAGGCACGCTCTGTCCTAAGAGCGTGGTCTGTTGAACTGCGTGACTTCTTTGTAGCAAGGTGAAGGGGAAAAACACTAAAATTTACTTTGAGATTTTCTTTGCACTATTTGTTTTCTTCTATTATGAAATATTTAAGTATTAGATGTGTAATATATTGGAGCAATGCAAAGATTTAGAGAACAGAAAATTAAAGACAATTTTTTTAACATTTCAAAAACTTATCGTGAAGTTTCTACCACTACTTAAACATATTTATAAAAAGTATAGTTGTACATTACTAAAAATTATAACTGTAAGGACCAAGTTCACAAATCATTAAGTACCCCAGAGCTAGGAAAAACAGTAAAGATCCAAATACGGTAAGTGCAAAAAACCCAACACCAAATATAATGACACTCCGCAGGAACTAAAATCAAGTCACAGGTGCAGATGAGAATGCCATACACCAAAAAAAGGAGTTTAAGACCAGAGGGAAATGCACTAACTAAAGTCACAACTAACATGCACACACTCTGAATTTCAGGGACGAAGAGTACAGTGTTCTCTAATTTTCTCAGTGTGTCTCGCCTCCTTTCTTCCCTTCTGGAACATTTACTCCACGCCCATTGTCAGGCAGAAGCTGTTTCACACAATGGAGACAGAGATCACAACGGAAGAACAGGTCCTCTCTCTGAGGACGTCCCCTGCAGCTGGAGGGCCGGCTTCCCAGCTGCAGGACGTAGAACACAGAGCCAGCACCGGACCAGAGCCAGGCAGAGCGGCATCTCCCACCCCAGATGGAGAAGACAGAAAGTCTACTGAGTCTATTGGTTAGCAGGTGAAAAGGAGATACAGGAATATTCAAATAAAAGCAACACTTTTAAAAGTACTTAATAAAAACCATTTGTACATGGGTCTGACAGTTTCTTATTATCAAATGTACTTCAAGAGGTAGACAAAAATGACTATTTCTCATCCACCCTGCTGTAGATTATTTGAGGAACTGTAGATTACCAGAGGAATTACCTTGTGGGAACACTAAACTTCACTATAAAAAGCTTAATGCCCTGGCCAGTGTGTCTCAGTGGATTGAGTGCCAACTGAATTCCCAGTCAGGGCCATGCCTGGCTTCTGGGCCAGGTTGCCAGTTGGGAACATGCAAGAGGCAACCAATAGATGCGTCTCTCACACGACCATGTTTCCCCCTCTCTCTTAAAAAAAAAATAATAGCCTTTTTTTTTTAAAGCCTAATAAAATATAATATTGTAATACATAAAATCCTGCCCTGGCTGGTACAGCTCAGTAGATTGAGCACCAGCCTCCAAGCCAAATGGCTGCCGGTTTGATTCCCAGCCAGGGCACATGCCTGGGCCTGGTTCCCAGCAGGGGACGCATGGGAGGCAGCCACACATTGATGTTTCTCTTCCCCTCTTTCTTCCCCCCTTTCCTCTCTCTAAAAATAAACAAATAAAATATTTAAAAAATAAAAAATGGAATACCTCTGTACCCTTGAAACCTATCATTTCACTAACCAACGTCACCCCAATAAATTTAATTTTAAAAATTCCTTATTTACATACTGTTAAAGGGACAAAGACTGTTAAAAATTTCATCCAAAAGTACTAAAGACAAATCACTTACTACATGGATAAACTTGTACGTACCAGGTTAAAGAGACCTTTATTTAGCTATTTAAAAGTCACAGGCACACAGCCCTGGCTGGCATAGCTCAGTGGATTGAGCTCGGGCCTGCGAACCAAAGGATCAGGTTTAATTCCCAGTCAGGGCACATGCCTGGGTTGCAGGCCAGTTCCCAGCAGGGGACGCAAGAGAGGCAACCACACATTGATGTTTCTCTCTCTCTCTCCTTCCCTTCCCCTTTAAAGATAAATAAATAAAATCTTTTAAAAAAAAGTCACAGGCACATAAAATTCAATTTGATTTAATTCAAAATGAGCAAGCCTCACAACCAACTTTGCTTCTCAGTTTTAATCAGCCAGAAGTGATTTGGAAGCAGCTCGATTTGCTTCTCGGAGGTGAGGTGCTTTCTTTTCCTTCCTCAAAAACTGTCATCATTATTTTTATGCAGAAAGGTAGAGTGTTCGCTCACACTTTTTTTTAGGTATTAATTATGTCACTGAATGAGCATATTTTCCTAGTTACCACTAAAAATACTTAATAAGAATTTAAAATGTCAGGCCGTTTAAAGTACAAAATACTATCACTACTCTAACTAGCAGTGAACGTAAAAGAACCTACTCTATTTTGGAAGTCATATTTCAGAGTATCTGTAAAGCAGAAACTGAAATTTTGTTTTCTCCAAATAAGAAATACAGAAAGACACCGACTAACTCCCCGCAGCGGCTCCCACTGCGGGGGCCGAGATTCAGCATGGCACTCACTTCAGGTCCTGGAGGAGGTCCTTGGCGTTGAGCATGGTGATTAAGGAGGTGGTGGCTGCGGGGATGATGATGATGGGCGTGCGAGATCCTGTCCAGACAGAATGTGAAAGGCAGCATGTATGTCATCAGTACTTTGAAAAGAAATTAGTTACCTTCCCAGTCAAAAGTTCGTAAGTTTATCATTTTCAATCTTTTGAGGTAAAAAACATCTTGGGTCAGCAGTGAAATTCAAAATACTGAATATTCAACATGACCTACGCCCTGCTGGTCAGCACAGACACCAAGCACAAACATACAACGTCAGTGCACCACGGTACTGGCCTGGCTCTGGAATCCATCCAGATTATTCACGCTGACTTTCTAAAATACATTTAGAATCGCATGCACAACCTCACCTTTCTTCTGATTTGGGGGAGGTCTTGCTTGAGAAACTGTAAGAGGAAAAAAAAACTTTTGAGTGTTATAACTATCACATTCTTACTTTGAAGCTTAAAAATTATTTGTATTTGCATATAACTAGTTATAACATTTTTAAATGTACTGCAATCTTCTCAAATAGTTTTATCTCCCTGCTTCATAAAAACATTAAAGTGGATCCTGAGCAGCGTGGCTAAGTGAGCTGGGCACTGGCTCGCAAAGAGAAAAGGGGCCGGTTCAATTCCAGGTTGGGGCACATGCGTGGGCTGCAGGCCAGGTCTCCTGTTGGAGCACATACAAGAGGCAACCAATTGATGTTTCTCTCCCCCTCTCTCTCCCGTAAATAAAATATTTAAAGAAACAACAACATTAAAATGGCTTAGCCGTTACTCAGCAATCTGCAGTCATCGGAGTGAGTAGGCCCGGTGACCGACAACTGACTGTACTCTGTGCTGAAGCACATGGAGCAGCCCAGAGCATACGACGGGGGGAGGGCAATGTGACTCACCACATTACAGAACAAAGGAGTTCCAGGAGCTAAGACCTAAATTATTACCTTAATTTCTCTCTTTTTCAAAATATCTTTTGTTTTTTCATTAAAAGAGAACACTACAGGCAATGAATCATATAAAGGTCTATATTATTTGGAGTTGCCCACATCGTTAAGGATTGTGAACTTATGTTATTACAGCACAAGTATTCATGCCTTTTATTTGTACACAACAAACTTTATGGTGCACAGATTTGTTGGCACACAAATGGTCATACCAGCCTAGTTCAAGATGAATGTGTTTTAGGGCTAAAATACATTAAAAGGGCTACCTATCTACACACACACACACACCTGTTCAATTTTCAGTGTTTATCCATAAAAATCAAAATATATTAATTGCCTTCCAATTAGTACTAGTGCCACGTACTATGCTTGCATATCTTTTTTTAGTTATAAAAGTAAATAAAAATTTAGGAGATTTAAAATTCTAATTAAACATCAGTTCTTAGAAAAATACCATTTTAAAGGAAAGCACATCGTTTTTAGAACACTACTTTGTGCTCCTGTATGAACTCATTGTGATGAGATATTATCGAATTCAGTAATATGATTCTTCCAGACACATTTTCCCATAGGAAGATATACACAAATACAAGTTTACACACCTAGATATTTATGGTAGCGCTCTCATCTTTCTTATTGCCGAGAAAAAGTACTAAAACTCTCAAGTCATTTTTGAAAACAGGACTCATGGATACATCTGATTAGCTAGACAGTGTCACCTGGGAGAAAGTCCAGTCTCAATGAATGTGTGGTATCTGTTGGAGGGAGAAAGGCATGGCAGGCTGGACAGATACGGGGATGAACAAGAGACAGCAGTTGCTATGAGAATGACTAAGAGAAAAACAAAAGATATTTTGTTTTTAGATATTACCAATGAGGTAATAAGGGAGCCACAATGGCTCAGGGGGTTAAGGAAAAAGTCACTAAAATCAAGGCTAAGAAGATCAACTGTAAGAATAAGACAAAATATAAAAGCTCTCACAGTACAAGTAAAGTTTAGAGGTTCAGTAAAAAAAATAACTGCAAAAGAATATACACGGGCTCCTGGTAAGGACCAAGGCAGGGGCACAGTGAGGGGTATGCTGATGGGGACCCAATATAAAGGGGGGGCTTCCTATGGCATAAGAGTCTACACGTAAATGATCTCAGTTCGGACCCCCATTTTGCCACTTTCTAGGCAAATTACCCTGGCCAGCTTGACTGCTCAACCTCGGGTGCCCTCAACCATAACACAAAGATAACAGTTCCTACACCTGGACACGGTGGCAAGGATCTCCTGGCCCAGGTATGGTGAGCGCTAGCTGTTTCAGCCCTGGTCCCCTCCTTCAGTAAATGCTAACCAACAGAGCGACAGTGCGCAGGCTCAGAAGCAGCATTTACTGTTGCTATGTTTGATTTCAAATATAATTACATTCTTCACTTAAATATGTCTTCAGAGCCCATGTACAAGTCACTCTGCTACATCCTTATTACGACAATGATAAATAAAAGAGAAATAATCCCTGCGCTTGGAGACCCTCCGGTGCAGAAGTGGAGCCAAACCACACACGGCCATGACACACAGACACAGAGAGAGGTCGGAACAGGTACTGCTCAGGGCGGAGGAGAAACACTGGCAGAAAGGCGTCCTTGAGAAAAGGCTGAGCATTAGAACCCCTCTCAAAGGAAGAAAAGGGGCCGACTGCAGAGAACAAGGGGCCCGACGGTGGGCGGAGGTGACACACGCGCAGATGCCAGCGCCCAGGCGGCTCCCTACGCAAGTTAAGCGTGTACAGAAGCACCACTCGGAAGACCGAACTTTCACGCCAGAAAGTGACACGACTTCACATTCACCTCACCTCTCCTGTGAGGGGAAGACAGACGGTTCAGACAGGGGCTCAAAGGAAATGGCAGGAAATCGAAGGTTCGGTCAGGCTGTTCCCGTGGGGTGAGCACGGGCTCTGCACTGAAGGGAGTGCAATGCCCATAGACTGCCGCCCACACCGCGGGCTGGACCAGACCACACCCTCCCCGTCTAGGCGCATCTTGTGGGGGACGTGGAACGATGCTTTAACATACACTGATCTAGCCTCGACCTGTGTGGCTCAGGGCACTGGGCACTGTCCCACAAACCAGAAGGTCACAGGTTTGATTAGAGTCGGGGCACATGCCTGGGCTGTGGGCCAGGTCCCCAGTCAGGGGCACATGAGAAACACCCGGTCCATGTGTCTCTCCCTCTCTTTTGCCCTTTCCTTCACCTCTAAAAGTAAATAAAATCTTTAAAAAAGGAGACACAGGGATCTAGAGTGATAATGATGGCTTACACTTGAGTTGTGGTGGTGGAGACAAAGAGAAAACAAATGGATCTGGAGTACAGAAGGTAAATCTGACAGAACTCATGACATTAGATGAGAGGAACAGCAAATCTGAAGAATGAGGAATAACTCCTAAATCTCTAGCTTAAGAAACAGAGTTAAGGCTGGTGCCTTTTATTCATGACACAGGGAGTGTGAAGTAAAACATCTCGGGGAAAATACCAGGGAACAAAGGTTCTACATCAGTCTCAAAAAGCCTACGGCACATCCAAATGCTAGGCAGTTAATGTAAGACACCAGAGGCAGAGATGCCTGAACTGGGGATATGAGCGTGAAAGTCATTAGCACATGAGTTTACAACTATGGAAGGAGGTGCTCCGACGGGCATCGGCGCGACACAGTGGACGACTGAACAGCACAAGCGATCCGTCTGAGATACGCAGAGGGCTAACTCTCCATCGCACCGACAGAAAGCAGACAAACTGAACTACGAGCCACCTGCCCGTGCCAGAAGCTCTACGAAGTGCAAGTAAGAACTGGGGGTGGAGGAGTGAGGTGTGCTTGTGTGTGTCAGAAAGGGGGGGAGGGGGGCACGTGCAAGGCAGTCCTTCAGGCTACAAAAGGAAATGGCAGCCAGTCCAGGGCCACACCCACCCAGGCTTGTGCTTCTCCACCCACTGGGAAGCGTGCGCCTCAGCAGTCACACTTCCCACCCTTGCTCGGTACGGTTTCTAAACCAGTGATTCCACAACCCTGTATGATAAATGGCACATACATCAGAAACTCTAAGCAACAAAAGCAGCATGATCAGTCTATTAAAATTATGAAAGCTTTATGCTTTCACAAGGAAAACACATGGGACTGAAATAAGGAATCAGTGAGGGGATGGTATATGTAAACTTTTAAAAAACGTTTTTCTAAAATCTTAAAATCGTTTTCTTAAAATTTTTCTTTACCTTTTCAAATATACCTACCATCTGTACGTGTTCTTATGCTATTACTTTACAAGTGTTTTAACTACAATCTTAATTCCTTCAAAGCATTATAAACAACAAAATTGTTTCACTCTTGTGATCATTTAGAAAAAAAGAACCTGTCTATTTTCACCTGGTCTCGGTACTGGCTGTGCTGCAGGAGTCTGAGTCTTCCGGGCCGATGCACCCTCCTTTAAAAGAATAAAGAATGACATATGACGTCAAAGTTTCTTTACATAATAAACACGTTCATTCAATTACTGGGAGTAAATTCCATACCTAGTTGTTTCTCAATCGGTCACCCCACTGAACATGCTATGGTCCTAAGAGTGTAAAGTAAAATAACTTTTCCTTCTTTTTTATGCTGTTGGTCATGAGATGAAGATAGAATCTTAAGTAGAAAATAAATTTAAAATTGTTATCATACGGTAGTTATTATAAGCACAGTATTTCTCTAATATTCAATGATTTAATTGCTGACAATTTTAACATCTCAAATATGTCATTACCTGTTTTTAATCAGGTCCATCTTTTTTCCCTTCAAAGGGGAAAATGAATAATTTCCGTTTTGAAATGAATAATTAAGACATGGCCTCCCATTAGAAAGATGTAAACAAAGCCACGAACGCTTCATATTAAATGCCTTTGAAATATTCAGGGACAAAAATCCCATTTACCAAGATGAGATGTTATATTTGAGTGGCTGAAAATATCTTAAAACTCACTGATGACAATTAAACTAAAACTGGTCTCCAAGTGACCATCAAACAGCACTGTCAGAGTAACAGTGTCAGAAATTTCTGTCACAGTAACTGTCAAAAATTCCATCTGACCCAAAACGTCAGGATCTGTGTTTCCTGCACTGGAAAAAAATGTGTGGTTCTTCAGGTGAATACTACCTGAAATACTGGCTTGGCCAAAAAGTCTATACGGCTTTTCCCATAAAAGACTTGTTTTTTTCATTTTTACCAGTTACTTTATTGATTTGGATATTTTGAGGACGTCAGCTATCTCCCACCTTGATTGTTCTCAATTAATATCTCGATTTGATCGCTATCAACTTCAACTTGTCTACCAGACAGTGGACCATTGTCCAGCAAGAAATCCCCAGCATGAATCTTCACAAACCACTTTTGACACGTTTGGTCGGTCACAGCACCTTCTCCATACTCTGGACAATCTTTTTTGTGTGTTTCAGTTGCATTTTACTTTTACTGAAATAATAAAGCATAATATGCCCAAAATGCTGTGTATTTTCTTCCATCTTTAATATTAAAATAGCTCTATAAAAATTTACCAAATTTGTTGTTTTTTAAATGCACACTGATCTGCCAGCTGTCACAATACAATCTAACAAAATGGTTTCAGATGAAGTTGAAGACAACTAAGCACTACTAGAGTGATCTTACAGAAAAAACTAAACAGACTTTTTTGACTAACCCAATAAATGCATTTAGGGGCCAACTACTCATACTAAAGCACGAACAGGAACGGAGACCGACCCAGGAGAAGCCAGACCCTCGCCTCCCTTCTCACTCGACTCCAGGACATGTGCACATGCTCGGGGAATGGAAATGACTCACACGGGTGAGGTGCTCTCCCCGTACCCCCTCCTCCTTCATTCCTGTCACCAAGGACATTTAGTTGAATTTATCTAGATAGATAACAGATAATATAAGTCCATGAAATGGCTTATCTTTACTCTTAGATAGTAACCAAACCTATACCTGATGCACCATGTAATGATCACTTGAAAACTATTAACTACCAGAATAAAACAATTACTTCTGTACCCAGGAGAAACTAAGAGTTAGGGGGTGTGGAGAGGAATAAAGGAAACCTCACTTAGAGCTGAAGTGCGGAGCCCTGAGGAGGGTGCTCACACACCAGGGCCCACAGCCGTTTGCTGCGGCACCCAAACGCCCCTCTCCTCTCCTCTATAAACTAAGGCTCCTCTCCTGTGTTCTCTGGACCTGACTGCGGTTTGCCACAGCTTTCAGGTCCCAAACTGCAATTCCTCGGCCATTCCTAAATAAACTCAGGTCTGCTGATAAAATATTTATTTTATTTTTAATGCTAACAGAGGCCTTGCAAGCCCTGTCATTAAACTCTGACTCCTTGAGAGCTGCTCCAGACAGGCCCAGAAAAATGCTAATGCCAACCTGGACAGTTGTGGCTACTGCACAGTTACTGATGACAACCTTTTCCCCATGAGTGCTGACACATTATAGACTAAAAAGTAGATTTATGCAAGTAAAAATTACAATACACTTATAACTATGAAGCTAAACAAAATAGGTGCCAGTCTGCTGAGTCTGACAAAGAAATTCATCACATTTACTGTGAAAGTTCAACCATGCACTTCAGATGTTAAAGAAGTTAGACTAAAGGGAGAACCTCTACAAGCCTGTCTGTCCTAAGATTTTTACAGATTCTCTTGGTTGGAAACATGCAGGTTGCAAGAGACTGTTCCTTTTGCGAAAGGAACCTTTCTTTATTTCATGCCTGCTCTATTTTTCTGTGCTTTATGTGAAGTTCTCAACCAGCTTAACTTGAACTTAAGAAACAGAATGCAGGTGTACCTAAAAGTTTAAAGTAAATTCTGCTTAAATACACAAGCCCCTTTTTATTAGTTTTCAGGAGTTCCTCTGCTGTACAAACACTTGCCCCATAGCAAGCAGAATTAATCAACAACCTGCTTGGAAGTCAGGGGCTCCAGACAATACTAAAAGTTCCCCACCAGGCAAGTGACCTATGGAGATCTCTTAATAACCCAGATCCAAAATAAATCCAGTGGGACATCAAAGAAGAGTCCAATCAAAAGAACTGGCAAAAACTAATTACTTTATCCTTCCTGGAGAAAGGGCAGGAAATACGGCTAAAACACCTTTGGATCCCGCTCACTTCAATGAGCTGTGCCTAACACAGTAGCTGACCAACATGAACTTGTCGAGCAGATGAGTCGAGGGAAAACATCAGCCTCCACTGACACTTCCATGAATGATCTCTGGGTGTGCAGTCCCAGCAGGAGCAGAAGATCCTACCACTCCCGGCAATGCCATGGAACGTAATGGTCAGGAATAGAGCATGAGGACTTAGATGATCTTGTTTTAATTCCCGGCTGACTCCTCCTCACCACTAATTAGCTCCTACTTGGGATAATTATTTCACAACTCTAAGCATGGCTCTCCATCTTCAAATGGGCATCACAATCATAAAAGTATGATGAGCATGAAGGCCAGCGTCTGTCCGGACTCGGGCAGTGCTCAGTAACGGTCACTCTGCTGGCCGCACAGTGCAGGCCTGCAGCAGGAACTGCTGATAAACAGTGATCTGCTAAAACCAATGTCCGCTTGTTTAAACAAGTTGTTATAAGTAGGTACTTAAGCGTTACTCTGCTACCTAAATCAAACACATGAACACAGAGCAGTAAGCATGCAGTAGGGTGGACAGAGGACTAAACGCCGGGACAACCTGGGTTTCGGTTTCCCCTTCACTCAGGAGAGAACTGTGAACTTCAAGGCTCGAGGTCTTAGGTTTCTCATTTACAAAATGCCCAATGTTCCTTCTAATATTTCCAGGAAAGCCACATACATTCCTAAAAACAGTCACAGAATTCCTAAACTACATTTCATCAGCTACACTAAAAGTGTAATGGGCAAAAACTAAACATACTAGATGGCCTGGCGCTAAATGTAAAAAGTTTTAACATGGCAGCCTGCTGGCTCTGAAAACAAAACCACTTTCGTCCAGTCGTCCACCTCCCTCGGCAGAAGCCGCAGCTGTTGTGCCCAGGCTCCGGGGAGAGACGGGCTGCATGGCTTCCGGAATATTGAGAAGATGCTTCAAAGAAGATGAAAGTGGGCTAACAGTTCAGGGGAAGGAGCCCTTTCTTGTTCAATGTGTGCCTACTGGAGCTGTCCGAAATAAATTTTCAAGGAAAATAGCATCCTTGGTTTCTCAATTGATCTGTTCAGTGGGGTCTTCTCTGCTCGGCCACAGCCCTGTGCCCTCGCCCGCGCACCTCCACTACCTTACAGAGGCTGGTCACGTGGGGCAGTCTCAGCCTCTAGGCCACGGTGTGGTGGAGGACTTTTCTGAACTGCATCTTGTTGCTGAAACTTCTAGTAGCTGAGAAGTTACGTCAACACATGACAGAGGAAAAGAAATGGACAAAAAGAAGTATCTCAAGTACAGCAAAGAAGAGACATGAGGCTGGAAAAAAGGCCCCTCAGACTACAGTGGCCTTCGAAACCAGTCACAGGAAGACCAGTGCCCAGGCAGGGTCAACTGCACTGCCCTGCAGCCACCAGGCTCCCAGGGACAAGGAAGAGGACTGTGTCCGCTGTGCCCGTGCTTGGACACTTGATTACAACCCTGAAGAATTAAGTACTGCCTTAGCTAAACACTTAAAGCTTCCAGACCCTTCAGCTTCACTGCCAAATCTTCTATCAAAGAAAGATATCAGATGAGCCCAGAGAAGCAAAAGAAGATTACATTAAGTTTAATACTAAAGACTTGAAGGCTGAAAAGAAAAATAGCAAAATGACTGCAGCTCAGAAGGCTTTGGCTCAAGTTGACAAGACTGGAATGAAAAGTATGGATTCCTTTTTTGGTGCAAAAAGTTTTTAAAAGTCAGAAAGATTTAATCTTTGGAGATGAAATCTGAAAAAAATATTTGTCTTTTGCATGTGCCATTTCTGTCTTTCCTCCATGTTACTGCCCTTCCTGTCAATCACCACCCTTTGACATTAAAAAAAAAAAATGCAGTTTTCAGGTTCATTCAAACATTTATTTGTATTTGAATTTTATGTTTCTATACAAAATATGAAAAAGTAATTGTGTAAAGTAAATGGCTTATAGACTTTGGAGTCTTCTTTGATACTGAAAAGCAATCGAATAACTAGAATTAATCTCTAACATCTCCATTTCTTCAAAAAACACATAACAATAAAAAATTAGATGAAATGTAAATCTACATTTAAAATAACAGACATTATTTGAGAAGACAGGCAGGATCAAGAGTATATTATGACCATAAACATATAGATAGCTTCAGTTCCAAAACTATAAATTTCTAGGAGTTAATATCCCTAACGTCTGAGGAAAAACTGGTAGTTCGAGATATTAAAGAAAAAAAGCACAATGCCCCAATACTCTACAGAAAAAAAAAAAAAAAAAAGAAATAATGTGCCCAGGAGACTAAACATACAAAGAAATTTTTGAGAATATAGTTTTTACTAAAAAATATGCTTCGGGGCAAGTTACTAGCCCATCCTGAAATATTACGATAAGCAAATACAATTAGTGAAACCTAATTACCCATCAAGATCTTGTACAAGTGCACCGTATCTACTATATCATTTTGTTGAATTCTATCCTATATGTAATGTTAAAGTAAGAAAAATAAATAATGCTCACATTAAAATTGCTTAAAAGTTTTGCTGCCTTCAAGAATCAAGAACATCAGAAACTACTTAAGAGGGGGAAGAAGATGTGCACTGTATCACATCATATGTCAGCAACGCAACCCACGGCGGCTGATTTATATAAACCCCAGAAAATGGGGAATGGGGGGATAGAGTGGGGAGCGGCTGTGCCTAGGTTACAGGTGAAAGAAAACAGGCTCTGAGTCTTAATTAGGTATTAGTAAAAGTGAGGCAACTTGAGAAAAAAAAGAAAACTTCAAGGGAGGGAATGCACTGAAGGGGTTAAATAAGATCTAGTAATACATAAAAGCTTATATTGCTCGTGCCCTATAAAACCATGTAAAAAAACATGAAAGTCAGTATCTGACGCTAAAAACATTTAGAAAGCCTGCGCTTAAGCATTAAGGAGGAAATAAGATGAAAAAATGAAATTACAACCATTCATTTCATTATCCCATTTTCAAATATTCACTCGTCACTAGACTTGCACTGAGTACGTTTCACAGAGAAGCAAAATCTCTAAGCTGCTCCCTACCTTGGGTTTTTAGTCCAAATTAATGCAAACAATCACGTGGGGCTCAGCCAAGCAGTGACGTTCAATTCTGCTCTGTCAGAGAGAACATCTGTCAAGCCCAGATATAAACTGCTGCCTGCCTGTGCAGCAGCTGAGGAAGCGTGGATTTCATATTACAGACTAAACCCAGGGAAACTGCTCCAAATCCTCCCTGCAGCTGTCAGGCAGCCACAAAGGAGAGTTCAGCCCGTCCTTTTCCAGCTCAATCGAGCACTCCATTCTAGCTCCGGCAGCTCCCACTGCAGGTCCGTGTCGTTCCTAGAAATATGGACACTGAGGAGAGAACGCAGCTCTGCATTGTCCGGCTGGGAAAGCAGCAGATGTAAGGAGCTTCAATGCATCGCTGGGTGCTGGGAAGAATCGACACTGCTCCCAACAGAACGGACGACTATAGCTCTTTTGTTTAAAGCCAGAGCAAATGAAAGAAAGGGAAAGCCTCAGAAGACCAGCACCCGTATGAAGAAGGAGGGTGCCGGGAAGACAAGCAGACAAATGGACACTTTGGACTCCGTGAAAAGCAGGCGCAGGAGGCAGACCACTGGGGATGTGCGCATGTTGGAGGGCATCTTTCTGCTGAAGGCATGGCGAGCCAAAAGTACGGTCAGTGGGCATAACCCTGTCCACATGGATGGCCTGCCCGGGAAAGGTACGTGGCTGTCTTGTGTGCGATGTGCATTTGAATGTCTGCTCCCTACCCGGTGTGGCCCTGGAGGCACTCTGATAAACAAGTTCTCTCAGCTCACTGCCCTTGAAACTGCGAGAGGCTTTCAGAATGTATTATCTAAAATGTGTCATTGTTTAGAGCACAAGCTGTCACTGCTTTATTCCAGTGACCACGGAGCTCAGAGTAATTACCGATTATAGGCATACAGCAGAGAAAAGGCAAATAGTAACAAGATGTGCTTAAAGGTTTCTCTGAGAAATTATAACTTAAAAAATATCTGCAGCCCTCTAAAGAAAACACAGCAATCCTCTACCAAATTAGGTCAAACTGAACCCTTACCCAGTAAATTACAGTGCTCCCTTGAAAATGGCTATCAAGAGAGACAATGCAGTGAAATGACATTAAACAGTATCAAAGAGGATGTTAACAGCAAGAGCATTTTTAGTCCTTTTAAAACAAAATCTTTGTAGCAGCTTTTAGTAACAAAGTCTTCCCTCCAAAATCCATCTCCCCAAACAGAGAAAACAAATACAACCCAGGCGAGTACCCCCAAATTTTAAGTATTACTGGGTGATCAGACTACAGGGAAAGCACTTGCATAGGTTCACAGAAGGCATGAGTTTATGCACAGCACAGCACAGTGGATGCATGCTACACTGTTCATGAAGACAACTTTAAACAAAGAAACAGCAATAGTTGCTGAAAATGCCCCCATTTAAAATAGCCAGCTTTAATTTTAAGCAATAGACTGCTTCTGAAAGATCACACATAAGGCTGTTTTCTTGGTGATCATTTTTGAAATTCAAAAACATAATACGAAAACACTTTGATATCAAAATATCCATAAACAGCACTACAAGGTGAAAAATTAAACATAATATAGTCACTGTGCTTTCACGCTATGTTCTATGTAGTAACAAACCACTGGCATGATGTGTAAATGCAGGGCAGAAATAGATCTAATAAACTATTTCAGCGACAATCACAGTTACAACAGCATCTCATGGTTCAGGAACTCAAGGATGTCTCTAAAATTTTTTTATAAATCTATGAAAAATCTTAATTTTTACTTAATTTCACAGCAATTAATCATAAAAGGCAAACATGTTAAAGACAAATGTAAGCATGCCATTCTAAAATTAAGACTAACCAAGTTTTATCAGGCCCTATTATTATATCTCAGCATCAAGTCTCATTCATACCATGAGTTTTTATTCCATTTAAGAATGAAATTGGGGATACTGAAAACATGTGGTTGTAAAAATCTCCAGGCTTGCTCAGTGCCTTTATGTCTCAATGTTCAAGTTACCAATTAAACATTTTTATAAGCTGGATATCTCAACACAAAAGTTTAGAATTTTTCATCCAAGCACCACTGAAATATAAGACTGTTTCAACAAACTAAAGACAGCAACGCTTTTATGAAAGCCAAATGATAAAACCAGCATGTGTGTATACTAACTGAACATTTTACCGTAATATCCTCTCCATGAACTTTAATCTATAAGATATGAACACACATTAATAAGTTGAAAATATTATCATAAAAACACAGGGGAGATAAATCAAAAGCTGTTCCTATGCTAAAAATCTAAATTGCAAAGCTATTTAGTATGCCCAACCATTTTAACTTTCTTGCCTTGTTCCCACTCTTTAAGGGGAAAAAAAAAAAAAACCACACGAGTATGTTGAGAATAATTTTACCATGTAATAGAAGGTTGTAATTTTACTTTATTTTTAACAAGGAAATTGTAATGCCTGAGAAAATTCTTTATCAATTCTTAAAAGAATTTTTTAAAGCTAGACACATGCACTTTTATCAATGGGAGAGGAACAAATGGATACAAATGATTTCAAGCCTGAGCAGCTTCATATTTTATAGGCCGGCAAACACCATGAATGTAAATTAAGACGCCCCCCGTCACCCACTGCTACCAAACCACAGGGAACCCTAAACCATGCAGTTGTGCTGGGCCACACTGCACAGCACTCTGCTGTTCCCTGTGACACGGAAACACTTCAGGTGTGCTGTGTTCACCAACACTCCACGATCTACTGCTGTCTCCACCCTCACCCACCTCCTCCGTCCTCTGAGCACACGTTCGCCCGAACGTTTATTGCTTCTTCAACTACCCAATTTAAACTTTGAAAAGATTTCAACATTGGGACTTCAATCAGTTTCCAAGCATTAGTATATCAGCAGAAAGCTAATACATTTTAATCTAGCTTTAGGGTGTTTAAAATAGATTATCAAATAAATCGTAAATGTAATTTTTCTTTTAAATTTGTACTCATAGACCTTCTATCTACTGGTTTCTTTATGGGATAAAAAAAAGAAGAATCATTTTTATTAGATATTTCATTTGAAAATAAAAGCTTAGGAAGAGTTTCTCAGTCTGAACAGACTGCTATTTACAGAACAAGGAGGGAAAAGTGAGTTTCTAAAGCAGAACACTTAGCTCTAATATTTCCAGCTTAACTCACTGCAGAACTACATTTTACTGGTAGAAGGGCTAGCCTTGGTCTTCACTATAGTCATGTAAGATTAAAATTCATGTAAATAAACTCAAATAAATAACAAGATAGTCTTAAAAATCCCAAAGCTAAAAAAAGAATCACTGCTTATATCTCACAAAGTGATTTCATGATTTTCTACATTTCAGAAATACCATTACTTGTAAAAGTAATAATTTCAGATACTAAAAATTATCAAAAGCTGATGCCTGCACTATATTAACACTTCAGAAATTTGTTCAAATTCCCAGCTACTTGCTCCCCCTAGTGGCTGTTACTAGCAGTACTTTCATTCACATATGTCTTAACACTTTCAGTATTTTCAAAGTATTTCACATTATATATATCAATTTTATTCTATAATTATTCAGTTATATAAAGGCCTTAATTATTTCCTCCAAAATAGTTAAATTTCATGTCAGAGTTAAGTAAATTTGGTATTAACTATGAATCTCTCAACATCATAGGCTAAATGAATACACATATATATGTATAACATATTAATATGTATACATAAAATAAAGTTATACATGCAAATAAACAAATGGCCCTACATTAAATTAACCAGTTTTATTTTGTTTAAAGTAGCAAGCTTCACAATAAAATGTTGAAAAAGTTTTAGAATTACGTATTTATTAATATCCTCACAGGGAACGGAAGCTCAGCTTCTCACACCTCCACCCCTCCCCTCGATGCAGGAAAACTAAGAGCAAGCTGAGAACCACGCACGAGTCTGCACTGCACACTGAAAACCCTGTTCGAGGACGACACAGCCACTTCTTCATACAGGCACCGTGGACCTTCCACCGTGACACCTCCTAATCTTTCAAAAAACCTCAGGCTCCAAATGTCATGCTAGCAAAAGTCCTAAAAACATAACAAATTCTCTTCATGCAAATTTAGACCACGGCGTAACTTGAGAATCTTTAAAATACATTTTGTGAAGTTTAAAATTTTCAACAGTTGGATATGACAGTAACCAGCACCTGCATTTTGTACATCTGAAAAGACTGCTGAAAGCAGTTTTCTCTGACTGTAACATGGAGACATACTGGGACACGTGCTGGTATCTGCCAAGGCCACAGATAGTTGAATAAGTAGTTGTTATGTATTTTTTTTAAATCAATCTTGAGTCTAAGTAAGGATAATGATTTCCTGAATACTTCCTATTTGAAGTACAAAGTTAAAAATAAGAAAAGAGTGTTTGACAATGCTCATCATTTATTACTGTCTCAAAACCCTGGACTGAAGTTACTGGACCCTGAAAATTAATTTAGACAGGTGCAACTTCTCATTGACTTTCTCAGCACAGCAGGGGCCCATGGAAACATGCCAGGCAGCACAGTGTGACTAGGAGAACCCAGCCGTCGTCGCCTCGCCCTGCCTGTCCCACAGCTGACGCATGACCATTTTACAGAGAAGGCTGCTGAGTGTGCACACCCCACCAACAGTGTGTCAAATCAGTTTTAATTAATGCCAGTAAGTCTTCCACCTGCTCGCAGGCCTTGTTACATGGCCCCTGTCAGAACTCTAGTAACATTCTCGCTTCTATAAGCATGCAACTTTTAAATCTTTAACTCGGGTCCCAAGTACAAACAACCAGAGCTACTCAGAAAATTAAGTGGAAGAACAGCAAGGTACTCACATTGCTACCAAGGAATATTTCTAGAGAAGCTGACCCCCGCCCTCAGCGAGGTCACGGTGTCAAGGGGACAAGGGGAAACAAGTTATAAACCTCATTCCGGGGTTAGCACATTTCTATAGCTTTGAAATGCCCACCTGCCCTAATTTCATTATCATCCAAAGTCTCTTTCAGGCATCTCAGTAATACTTAGCACTTTGTAAACTTGTATGCTTTATCTTTACAGAATGACCCCAAGGGAGACCAGGTGACTGAACAGACAATGATCACCAAAGAGCAGTACTGATCCAGCAGAGGAAAGAACCTGTGCGGCCTGCAGTCCCCCTCCTGGCCCTGGCCATCTGCAACATGCTGCAGTGGAGGCGGCGGCACTGCTGCTGGGCCAAGCGCTCTCTGTTCCGGACCCATCTCATCGGCGCCCTCTCCCTGGTCTTTCTCTTTGCCATGTTCTTGTTCTTCAATCATCACGACTGGCTACCAGGCCGAGCCGGATTCAAAGAAAACCCTGTGACCTACACTTTCCGAGGATTTCGTTCTACAAAAAGTGAGACAAACCACAGCTCTCTTCGGAATATCTGGAAAGAAACAGTTCCTCAAACTCTGAGGCCTCAAACTGCAACCAACTCCAACAACACAGACCTGTCGCCACAAGGAGTCACAGGGCTGGAGAACACACTCAGTGCCAACGGAAGCATCTACCGTGAAAAGGGTAGCGGACATCCAAATGCTTACCATTTCAAGTATATTATCAACGAACCTGACAAATGCCAGGAAAAAAGCCCTTTTTTAATCCTACTAATAGCAGCAGAACCTGGACAAATAGAAGCTAGAAGAGCTATTCGGCAAACCTGGGGCAATGAAAGTCTAGCCCCTGGTATCCAAATCACGCGGATTTTTTTGTTGGGCCTAAGTGTCAAGTTAAACGGCTACCTTCAACGTGCGATACTGGAGGAGAGCAGACAGTACCATGATATAATCCAACAGGAATACTTAGATACATACTACAACTTGACCATTAAAACACTGATGGGTATGAACTGGGTCGCAACATACTGCCCGCACATTCCTTACGTTATGAAAACCGACAGCGACATGTTTGTCAACACTGAATATTTAATACATAAGTTACTGAAGCCAGACCTGCCTCCCAGACACAACTATTTTACCGGTTACCTAATGAGAGGATACGCACCCAACCGGAACAAAGACAGCAAATGGTACATGCCACCAGACCTATACCCAAGTGAGCGCTACCCGGTCTTCTGCTCTGGCACTGGCTATGTTTTCTCCGGAGATCTGGCAGAGAAGATATTTAAAGTTTCTTTAAGTATCCGTCGTTTGCACTTGGAGGATGTGTATGTAGGGATCTGTCTTGCCAAGCTGAGGATTGACCCCGTTCCCCCTCCCAATGAATTTGTGTTCAATCACTGGCGGGTTTCTTATTCAAGCTGTAAATACAGCCACCTGATTACCTCTCATCAGTTCCAGCCCAGTGAACTGATAAAGTATTGGAACCATTTACAACAAAATAAGCACAACGCTTGTGCCAATGCAGCAAAAGAAAAGGCAGGCAGGTATCGCCACCGTAAACTGCACTAGAAAAGGCGACTTTTTTTCCAAATGTCCAATCTGTAAAATATTGCTAAAAGCATGTATAATTAAGATTGATTATACCCACAGAACAAGTTTTAGTTAAAACTCATCACATAAAAGAATTGCAAAAGTATTTTTTTAATTTCTGAAAAGGTAATTCTTAAAAATACATTATAGGACAAAAAGGCACCCCGAGAGGATCTAGGAAAAAACTGTATACGGCAATTCTGTGTATTAACATGCAATAACAAGCATGCATTCACCATGGCTCTAGTCTTACATTAGGGGCCGGTAAGATGTATTTGCATATATTTTTCACATAAATTTTTATTTAAGAAATGGAGACAGTCAAAAGACCCTCCATTTTAGACTCAGTTCTACATCTCGATATATAATTATATGTAAATAAAACATCACTGTCAATTTTAAGGAAACTTTGTAATTGTGTGAAGGACAGATGTTCTGGAATTCTAAAAACTGTATTCCGTGCAATAAGATTTAGTTGAGTTACTCCAGAAAAACACATTTATAAAGTTCAGATGTCTCATCAATCTGTTCTCATCTAAGTACTTATTTTTCAAAAAAAACAACTGAAAGACTCATTTTCTTTTATTAAGAGTCACATACATTGAGGAAGTTATTTTGAAATGATGTGATAAAATGTGAAAAATCAATGTGTCTCAGGCTCAAATTTTTATGAAAACAAAAAATTAAATGTTTCAAAACAGACAAATTTGTTTTCTTGTTGGTGCAAGGGCCACACTAGTATTTGAAGGAGTTAGTCCACTAGCTTGGTGACTGCACTCTGAAGGAGTACTTCCACTTCACTTCAAGCATATCTGTAAAAATACATCATGTTCCTCGCTACGGCAGAAGTGATAACTCACAGGCACAAAGAGAACGTACTGCTAGAAACAGATAAAGGGGAAAGAGGGCAGCAGCAGCAGCTTCATTCAATCCATTTTTAAGATGCATGTCTGCCAAACGGCAACATATGGGAAGCTGATTTCCTGGCAGCAGGAGTGCACACGCCAACACTTAATCATTTCTCGGCACCTACTTCTTCCCAAGTGCCAGTTTACAAAAACCTGCAGTTTTTAATTTGGGAGATGACGAACAGTCTGCATCACCAGTTAAAAACCTTTTGGGGGGAGTGGGAGAAAACTACAAATGTTTGATGAACACTTGATTCTAGGATGAACAATGTATTCGATGCACTTTTATCAATTTTTTAATAAAAAAGATAAACAGAAAGTCTTTACTGAGTGTTATGGTACAAATATTTTCTCAGTAATTGTTTGATTCCATTACAAAATTAAAAATCAGGAAATACGAAAGCTACTAGCTCTAAAATGGTGTTTTTATTTCATACAGCTTTGTAAATTTATTGCTCTTAGTCAGAATGTTACCTATCCTAATTCTAATTATGATTGTATCTTTGATTCTGAAGATATTGCATCAAATGAGAATTGTAACATTTGATAAAGTTCAGAATCATAGACACTGTACTTGTTATTTAATATGCTGAATTCTATTTATACTCACTAGTCTCAGTGTTCTATTCTATACACAGTAATTCTCAAAGCTGAGCGAACACCCCCAGTTCTTGGTTTTCACTTAATTTAAATTCCGTATATTACAAAAATACTAAAATTAAATCTCCAAATTACTAAATAGAAGTCACACATGAGATGACAATAATACCAAAGTAGCTAAGTCTGGTGACAGGCAGAGGGAACCCGTCCCTCAGTGTGGAGCAATTCTCTCACTTATGCCCCTGGCATAGAAGGGACAAAGACAAGTGGGTGCGTGTGCAGAACCAGAGCCCGCGCCATCTGTCCAGCATGTGCATGGTCACGGTGCAGGATCTTTAAAAAATAGTATCTCCCCTCCAGAAAACTTTAAGTTTAAAAAGTTGACTTGGGAAAAACAACTCTATTTAATACACAACTAAATTCCTCCTGTCTCAGGCATCAGTTTAAAATCATTTTTATATCCCTGATATTTTCTTGAAAACTGATGGTAACTGACAATACTCTGAGTTCTCAAAGAGCACTGTACCAAATAATAGTTTCTTAGTACTGCTGAAAATCCTTGTTTGAAAATAATATTCTATGATTAATTTATATTTGACCTTCCACTGTCAACAATATGCAAGCTGATTTCTTCAGCAAAATAAGAATTTCTGTATTATATTTTAAAATATTTAAACATTTCACCAAGTATTGATTGTGTCTTACTCATGCCTAGAACTATGTAATTTTTATTACACATGAAAACATAATTTTAAATGACAATGTTGCATTTGGTCAAGGGAAAAAATTACAAAATAATCTATATGCTCAGTGTTACTATATATTTTAGAAGAAAAATAGCAAAACTTTTAATACGCGTTTATTTTGCTCAAGATTTTAAGTGATGAAATTCTAATTCAAGTGTAAAACTTAAACTTGTCACCTCTCACCACGCAGCACGATCATAGTCAAGCTCAACTGCCCCAGCATTACTATCTGCTCCCCAAACGCCCAATGGGAATAGTAACCGGGCCGCAAACGCCCTGCCCAGCACCGTGTCAGAGCACTACACAGCCGCCCGGAGTCACTGCCATGCCCGAAGCGGGAGGGCCGGCGGCTCGCTGAGCTGAGGGGCAGGGCGCCTTTCAAAGACCACTCTCTGACCCCTGCACTGCTCCCTGCCGAGCATTTCCTGTGGCACCACTGTGGGGGCTACAGCGCTGGACACGCCTGTCCACTAGTCTCCTGTTCTCTGCTGCTCTTAGTCCGCTGCAGGGGCACCTGCTGCTAGGTGCAAGTAAAGAGAATGGAAAGGAGAGGGCGTCTGTCCTTCAGTTATCATTCTTCTCCTTTCCGCTGCTGATGTCAGGAGGCCAGAACCCGGGGAAAGCGTAAGCTTTGTGCTTACCTCTTGCTCCTTTGGGCACCAAGACACATCTGTGAACAACAGGCATGGCACTTACCAATCTCAAAAGATGCTTCTGCTGAAGCACCACCGATTGTTCTCAAACAAAGTAGTGCTGCATGTACCCGCTCCACTGGTTTATTCACTACGTGTTGTGATGAGGCAGTAAGACCCTCCGACCCAGCCGATTTGGGCTCTCCTACCCCCAGTGTTTGCTGCCCAACTACAAGATCTGACTATTACATTAAGAGAGATTTAAAAAGCAAAAGTAATATTTGCACTATACATTTTTAATATACCCTGTACATTATCAGGGTATCAGAAGGCAGGTTACATACACCAAATACTAAAAAGGGGCATCTTGACTTCAGGAAGAAACCTATTACAATGCACTCCATCAACGCAAACACAGACCCTCACTCAAGCATAACACTACGACAAACCTCACTGCTTTCAAGATACAGTCTGCCAGCGGAGGAAAAAGAGCATCCTTGGCTCTACAGGACTGTCCCCTGCCCTCTCCCCCAGCAAACGACTGAGCTAGAGAACAGTTAGAGCTAAGGCAGCTGCCTTGGTATGTTTACTGATCTAATTATTTCAACCTGCAACTGAATTTTGACTGATTCTAAATTTGTATCCCACTTTAGAAATAAACACTGAAAAAATAAAAGTATATCAACAGCACATTAAAATATATACTAACTCAAGTTCAATAATTGAACTGAAATGTAACTACAGAAGAAAATAACATTTGTATTTATTTATAACACCCAACAGATCAAATGACTCAAAGAATAAAAAGAACTCAGAAAATCAGTCAAAGGCAAGATTAAAATACTAAAGCCAAGAGTCTTCTCTTAAAATTTTTTAAGTTTGTAGAGCATGTGAATGGAAATCATTACACAACTAAAGGTACAGAATATAGAAAAAAGTATCAGTAGCTAAGAAAATATTTTAAATGGTGATAAAAAAACTTACTATAAAGCAGTAACAATTTTGGTTTGCATAAGCACAAGGATTAGGCAGTTGTATTTAAAAAAAAAAAAAAAAGCTCTGAAAGAGACTCTAACATGTATACCAACCTGGCACCATGAACAAATTAGAATCAATATACCATTATTCAATAGAAAAACCAGCTGATGTCCAAGGTTTAACGCTTAGGATTCAGGTTATACTGTCACTTAACTCACACTATTAGAGAATAAATGAATTCCAAGTTGAGCAAAGCAACTATAATACTGTATTAATAATTACCAAATCTATTATGAGCCAGGTACGACTAAGCATTTTAATGAGGGAGTAGGGGACTATTTTACTGATCACAGAGTAAAAATCAGAAAGAAAGAAATGAAGCAGAAAAAGATAAACAAAATACTAACCTCTATATAAACTAACACCATAAACAAAATTAAAAGACAAAAAGCAGAACAGAAATTAAGAAAAAAATGTATAATTAACAGTGAGAGTCCTGATATAAAAAGAATTCCTAGAAATCACAAACAACAATGAAATAACCCAATGAATAAAATACATTCAGTCTCACTAACCACATAAATGTACTTTAAAATTAATACCATCCCTTCTTCATCAAACTGGAAGATTTTTTTTTAAGTAACTGCCTACAGCACTTACGAGACTAGAACATTCTGATGGCAGTGTAAAGTGGTAAAGTCTTTCTGAAAGACAACTTAAAAATATTTAACAAGAATCATCAGCCCACAATTTAAAATCTATTGTAAGGCTCCCTGGCTGGTATAGTTCAGTGGATTGAGAGCAGACTGTGAACCAAAGGGTCGCTGGTCTGATTCCCAGTCAGGGCACATGCCAGGTTTGCAGGCCAGGTTTCCGGTGGGGGCCACATGAGAGGCAACCACACACTGATGTTTCTCTCCCACTCTCCTTCCCTTCCCCTTGTTCTATAAATAAATAAATAAATAAATAAATAAGGAAAGAAAGAAAGAAAGAAAGAAAGAAAGAAAGAAAGAAAGAAAGAAAGAAAGAAAGAATCTTTTAAAAAAACCTATTGTAAAGCAATATTCTAAGAAGTAAAACACAAGAAAAAATTTTCACGTTCAAAACAGAGATTAAATCAACAATGGTCGTTAAAAAATAGAATACTACCATCATTTAAAACCTAGATTTAGAGACTATTTAATAACGTAGAAAACCACTCACATACTGTACTAAGTCCCTCCCCCCAAAATCAGTGTACTACATAGTATGGTCTTATTCCACAACCATATATATTAAAAAAATAAAAAGCCAGAAAAATGAATGCTCAAAACAGGAATGGTAATGATTTCTGGAAAATGGAAAGTCTGTTTTCTTCTTACATTTTAATGTATTTTTTCAATTTTCCCAGGTTTAAAAATCAGTGAAAAATGAAGTCATTAACAAGCTAATGGGCATTATATACAAAGTATATCTTACATACTGTAATCACTAAGTCTACTCTAATAAATTTCAAGTATTTTTAAGGAACTTTCTAGAGTTATATAAGATCACCAAATCTTTAATAAAGTAATTGAACTAGATCTGCAAGAGAGAATTTTTCAATTGTTCAAACATTTTTTAAGAGACCGCGATTTGCCAGGTGCTGACACTAATGACAGTAACTAGAGAAGACATGGTCTGAATCAGATATTTGCTCTGATACGTGGTCTGAATTCAAACGATGAATGGCTGTAAGAAAAATAATTACATCTGTTCCTCAACCATGTATCAGAATAATCTTCAAAGAGAGCAAATATCTTAATAATGAAACAAACCAGTTCTAGAGGGGAAAATGTGAATTTTTTTATAACCTGGGAGAAGAAGAAATTTTCCTAAATATGACCAAACTGAGAAACATCGAGAGATTTATAATTGTGATTACATAAAATTTTGAAAAAATCTCTTGCATGGCAATAAAAACAAAATAAGAAGACAAATGACAAACCGGGAAAAAGATGTCTGCAACCCATAAATGCTTTACCGTGTTCCAGAACTCTCACCTTAGGCTAACAGAAACCCTTGAACCCAATACTCCTCAAGATTCAAGAAACACCTGAAAGTGAGTATTTCCTGAGAGCCTAGGCACTGAGACGTGAACTGAGACGTGAACTGAGACATGAACTGTGAGGAGACCTCTGAACAAAAACAACCACTACATTGTTGACACAATGCTCCCTGCACAGACAGAGCCGTACATCAAATCTTCGAGTACGCAGAAAGGTACCTGGGGTATCTGTCGTAACACATGGAACAGGGGATCGGACCTCCTCTCTGCTGCCAAGTGTCAGAAAAGCCTTCTCAGAGACAACGTTCAAGCCAACATCTAAGTGGTGACTACTCATCTG